CTCCAGAGGCAGTGATTTATTTATTTCTTGTGAAACTTTCTTGTCTCGGTTACTTTCTTGGTGCTGAGCTCAGTGTCCCACACACACAGCTAAGCTCAGTAAACTGAATTCCAGGCAATCACTTTTCTGGGAAGATCTTCTCTCACACAGTCGCCTGGGTCTCTTGTCTCAAAGCAAAGTCTCCTACGTTTGCAATTTGTATCCTTCAAAAGGCAGGGCTTCCGTGGTCCCTCACATGTCCTTAAGCCATTTTTGTGAATGTCTTTTTCCAAAAGTTCCAAAAATTGATGTTAATCTTTACAGCAACCAATCTCTCTTCTGATCCATCTTTATAGGCACCACCTTTACTAGAACTTCCTCTTTGGCCAAATTAAAACTTGCTTCTCAAAGTGGAACTGGCTAAGTGTCCCCATCAGTACCCAAGCCACAGCCTGAAGGTTTCACTGCCTAGAAATTTTCTCCACCAGATTAATTAGTCCCTTGCCCTTAATCTCAGTGTCCCTCAAAGTCTCAGGAGAAGAGCCATTTGCAGACTTTCCACCACAGCATAGCACACATGACTGGGAGTACAAGTACCAATGGAATCCTTGTTCCCAGCGGAAATCTCCTCAACCTAGTATTTTCCGTCTGCCTTCTTATCAGCATTCTGATCTGGCTGTGGCCAGAATCTCCCATTAAGCTCATCTTACAGTATTCTAGGGTTATGTCTCTAGCCAGTATCACTCTATCTTCTAAAACTCCTCCCACAAGCCTATTCCAAAGGCTTCTGTACCACAAGGTCAGTTAGCATCAGAGAATTGACCCTACAGTGTAAGGGTTAATCTCAGATTATAGAGGTTTCAGCCCATAGTCAGCTGTCTCCAAAGCAGAGGAACATGGCAGAAGGGCATAGTAGACAAAAAAAACAGCTCATCGCTTGGTAGTAGAAAGCAGAAAGAGATCCAAAGAGGTGGGAAAGAGATGTACCCTTTCAAATCATACCCCCGAGACCCACCTCTTCCCACCTGGCTTCACCTCCAGCATCACATTTATCTATAAACTCATCAGTGAACTAATTCACTGCTGGTTGTCACACTTGCACAATCTAATCACCTCCCCCAATCCCAAGCTATGAACACATGAGGCTTTGGGGGGACATGTAGATATAAACTGTAGCACTTCCAGAAAGACTTAATGTACAAACAGACTATTAATGTTCATTCAGACTACATATGTGGGATCTGGAATCCATGGATTCAAACAACTATTGAGTGAACAAAATCGTATCTTTACTGAACACCTATGGACTGCTTTTGTTGTCAGTATTCCTTAAACACTATATATGACAATTTTTAAAATAATGCAGACCTTGCATTAGGTATTACAAGTAATTTAGAAGTCATTCACAGTACATAGGTGGATGTGCACAGGTGAAGTACAAATAATACATCATGTAATATAAAGGACCCAAGCATCTGCAGATTTTGGAAACTACAGGGCTTTCTGGAATCAGTCCCTGTGGATACTGAGGGACAACTATACTTATTTTGATATAAGTATACTTATTTTGATATGTCATATAGATTGATGGAAATATAGTCATATAGTAATATAAATTGATAAGTAAATTCATTTTAACATAAAAGAAAGCCCACATATCCTCAGCTCTATACCTTTATAAATTGATACATTTTGAAGATTGTTTTTCATTTCGGTGTGCAGTCCCTCATGCTTTTCCGCTCAAGCATAAATTGAAAAACTTAATTTTCAATTAAGAAAGAACCATAGATAAAATTAGAGCCAAAAGATTTGTTCTTGCTGAAGATATAAGCACTGTTAAAAATAAACTAAATGTCTTGTACAGGAGTAGGAAGAAAAATGCCTAGACAGCATCTCAGAAATCAGCAAGACACCACCCATCATAGCCTCAAGGGTTCAAAAGTGTAAGCCTTTTATTTGGGAAGAGATCTTTGTGCCACTTGCTTCAGAGGGCCACCTAGGATATTGGTTTGCTGAGATCCCCTTCACTGTGCTCTGACATCCAGGCACTTAGAGGTTGCTGTAGCCATGGTTCAAAGTGGCCCAGCAACTGTTTTACCAAGAACATATCTTGGCATCTTCATCATGATGCTGGTTTTCCAGCATGAAGAATATAAGAGTTATGAGATCAGGAAGGGTTCCACCCAAACCTCAAAGGCAGGCCTAAAAAGCCAGGCAAGTAGTCCATGAGATGACATTGTGTAATGCTGTGAAAATAAAGCCAAAGGCACCATAGAGACCCTAGAAAGTCAGTTACACCAAGACTATGGAATGTCTGTCTAGAAAAGTTACAGACTGTGGGCTTAAACCAGTAAGGCCATAGGGGCAGTGCCATCCAGGCTCTCTGGAATTCACATGACACCAGAAGCTTCGGATGTTGGACATGTTGGACACTGATTCTACTAAGTATTACTTTGTTTATTATAGGCTTTCATATAAATGGGCCTATTTCTGATGCCCTGATGCTATTCCATTATTGATCTGTTTATTGAGATTCCTTCATAAAAACATTTTCACTACTGTTTGCTTAAACTGCTTTTAATTATTTGGCACATACACGTCTTATTCATGACCATTCTTCTATTTGAAATATGTACTTAATGGACAATTTCTATTTCACAATCTTACTATACATATTAGACCTTATTTACATTTTTAGTTTCTCACACCAGGGAGACAATGTGATATTTATATATGTGTGTGAGTATGGGCTCAAGGTGCATTCATTTACCTGGAAGTGTCTCAACTCTATCCTTCTTTATGAGTGAGTAGGGAGTAGGGAAGGATAAAGAAAGGGAAAAGAGAAAAAAGTGAGAAAAGAGGGATATATTAGAAACAAATCTTTGTGAATAAGGAGAGGAAGTGGATGACAGGAGGGGAAGGAATGGGGGAAAAAAGAGGAATCAAGATATATCATGTGCAGGTGCAAATTCCCTGCAATGCATGTGATCATTATGTATATCTAAATTGTAACAATATACTTAATTTAAAAAATAAGAAATCAAGCTAAAAAAATACTTCATGAGTTTTGTAATTTCATTTTCATAAATTTAGGGTGAGCATGTAAAGTTGCCATGATATTGTCACACTTAGGAAGGCTTACATTAATGTAAAAATAATTAATATTTTTGCAAAAAGTCATTCTCTCTAAGAAAAAACCATCTTTTAAAGCCTTCTAGGGGCTGGGGATTTAGCTCAGCGGCAAAAGCACCTGCCTGGCAAGTGCAAGGTCGTGAGTTCGGTTCCCGGTACCGGAGAAAAAACAAAAAAACAAAAAAACAAAAAAAAAAACTAAAGCCTTCTAAGTGTCTTTTAGAATTTTCAATTTTGTTTAATGTAAATAGTATACAGATCTGTGTTGTTTAACACCAAATACTGTATAATATACTTTTAATTGATATTCATTCTACCACATACACTTTGCATATATGAGAGCTATTGATTTTTACAATTTTTCAAAGTAGATTCTATTTTTAAATTATTAATTTCTTGCCCTTTTATTTAGTTTTAATAGATTTTATAAATACTGTATTGCCTGAATATTTCTTATTGTTTTTTTTCTCATTCCTTTCTATAATCTAGTTACCTTAGATCTTATTTCCCAAATAAGTTAATATTCATTTTATTCATTATGTTAAGAGTTTATATTTCTCCTATTCAAATCTGTTCATGAAGTATCTGTCATTCTTTTTAACTATCTTATCAATAATTAATATTAAATATCATCAAACATTTTGATTTTATTGAAAAGCTTGTGTATTTTTGGATTATAATAGTGTATATAACTACTAATACATTTCTAATACTATATATAAATTGTTTTCTACCAATATTTCAATTGTTTTAAACTTAGAAAAAAACTTTAAATTTTAAAGTCAGTTGAATACATTATGTAGAAATATATAATGTAATATTTTACACTATATTTCTTGATTGATATATTTATTTAAAGAGACAGTGGAATAGTCAGAAAATAACCTGTATTTATCTTAGGTATTTCTACAAGTTCTCTGTAATAATGCATACTGCAGAAAAGGTAATAAATTTTAAAAAAAATTGAAAACATTGTGGGAAATGATAATAATTTGAAAAGAAAAGAACAAAATTTAGACAATAGAGTGGGGCTGGGGATACAGCTCAGCAGCATAAGTGCCTGCCTGGGAAGTCCAAGTCCTGAGTTCAATTCCTGGTACCTCGAGAACAAACAAATGACAACTAAGAAATAGACAACAGAGAATATTGTCTTCTATATGTTCCACATTGTTACTTTTGAAACATGCTGTCACACAATAACAATTTTATTCTTTTTCTTTTAAGGCAATTAAAAAAAACATATTTTATAATTTCTTCTACATGTGTTACTTTATTAACAATTGACTGTCTTTTATGAAGTGATATATAGGTATTTCTTTTATGAGGAATTGAAATGCTGAGGTCATCCATTCAAACAGAAGCATAATTTATCCTCCTAACATGAAATATTTACCTAAATTTAGACTTCAGGCAGCACTAATTAAATTATAACTAAATTTAGGGCTTTGAAATGCACTGATATACAAATGTGTCTTGAAGTTTACATTTTTTGAAGTTTACTTCTGAAATCGTTGTAATTAAATTTTCAAATAGTCATAGAATTTTTTTAAAACTCAAGAAAATAGCTTGAAGCTAAATAAAAATTCAAGGAATAAGCTCATAGAGCAGTTTGAGGTGAGAAGCACTCACATGTATCAGGAAAACAAACTGTTAAAGTATCAGCAAATAGATTTCTTGCTAATGACATGTAATTCTCCCTGTGACTAAAGACTGCAGTGTCGGGCTGGGGATTTAGCTCAGCGGCAAAGCGCCTGCCTGGCAAGCGCAACGTCGTGAGTTCGGTTCCTGGTACCGGAGAAAAACAAAACAAAAAAAAGACTGCAGTGTCCACTCTTTCTTACAGTGACCTAATTACAAAAGCAAATTCATGTGCTCTCTGCTCTCTTAAGGGAGATGCATCAACAAAGCATGGGTATGTGATGGGGATATTGACTGTGAAGATCAATCAGATGAAGAAGATTGTGACAGTTTCTTGTGCGGACCACCCAAGTACCCTTGTGCTAATGACACGTCAGTCTGCCTGCAGCCAGAGAAACTCTGCAATGGGAAACGGGATTGTCCCGATGGGTCTGATGAAGGCGATCTCTGTGGTACTGCATGTTTAATTACTTTGGTTCTTTCTGAAAATGAGAACCTTTTAGAAGAGTTGTGTTGCTTATTATAGGAGCGTGAATGCTTTCCATTCATTCCCTTCAGTTGTAATTTCAGCATTGAATCTTACTTGTACATTTCAGGTACTATGTATCTATACACAGCTTTTTAAATACGATTGGAAACTTCTGACAACAGAAAAGAGCAGAACTGCATCCAACTCATTTGAAAATTGTAGAGCTATGTACATCATTTAAGTCTCTGGATGGTTCATGCTGTCCACAATTAAAACTATTATTGTTGTCAGTGAGTCATTCTAAACAGGGTGCACTTTTTATTATTGACATGTGGGGTGGGGTTTACTACTATTCTATGAGTTTTCATGTGCTTAATAATCATTGCAATACAAACGTATTTTTTTAGGAAAAGAGAGAGGCTGCATAATGAGACAAATTGACTATTATCCAGTTAGTCTAATATTCTCCCAAATATTTAGTGCTCATGCAATGCCTTTGTTTAGTGTGCTTATCTAGTTAAATGATGATTCCGTTGAGATATAAGGTCACTATGACTAGCTATTTCCCTTATTCCAGACAGCAAATATAAAAGAAAATGATATTTTCTCCTTTTTGAGGAGAGTGGAGATTTATCAAGGAGATTTTTAGAGGTATGTTTTCTAGATCATCCTGAAGGAGGCATCCACTGAGTAATAAAGAGAAGTTTGCAGGGTGATAAGGAAGCAATAAAATGACTTGAGGGTGTAAGGAATGGCTTTAGGGAAGGATGAGCCTGACTGAAAGTAGAAAATAACTGCATTTAGGTCCATCATGATCGTATTTTTATCTTAATTGAGCATTAATAGCATATTGAATGACATAAAAAGGACTGCTATTCTGTTTTACATTTATGCAATAAGCATCTTTCAAAGTTTCCGTAATTTTATAAAATAACCTTGAAAGAGTAAATATAATATTCTCCATTTGGTGACACTAAGAAAACAAGAGATTTAGGCAACAACAACAACAACAAAAGCCTAAAAATAAAACTACGAAACAAAAATTTGCAACATGAATTTGACAGGATTTATTTTTCTGTATTTACTACCTTCCATCCAAGTCTGTCCTCTGTAACATTATGAAGTCCGTAATGTTGTGTGGGGTTATTCTGGGGACTTGACTTTGGGGTCTCAGCAGATTAGGTATAGCCACCTGCCTCCAAAGAATACCGAAGAGCAAAAGTAATGATTAAGTGTCTTAGTTACTTTTGTCTCATTGCTGAGACAAAATATCTGACTCCCAAAATTAAGGGAGGAAAGGTTTATTTAGCTCACAGTTTGTGGAGGTTTCAGTACATGCTTGGCTGGCTACAAGACAGAGTGGCACATGGCAGAGGCACATGGCAAACGTTTATGGTGGCAGAAGAGAACAAAAGCAATAAGCACAAAAGCGAGGAGTGGCAGCAAGCTGCCCCTCTCCCTCCCTTACATTGTATGCAAACTGTCTGCCCCAGGGCAGGTGTAGCACTCACACCCATAATCCCAGCATTGGATCATAGATCAATCACAAATCCTAGAAGCCTGCCTCATGACTGCATGAGGATTAGGGGGGACATGCAGACACAAACTGTAACATTAAGTAAGGAAATAATTTTTTTGGCCTTACTGGGATTGACTTCAGGGTCTTTGCATTGAGTTATATCACCAGCCCTTTTAAATTTTAATTTTATTTTATTTTTATTTTGAGGCAGTCTTATTAACTACTCAGGTCAGTTAATGCTTGCCTGAAACTTATGATATCCCACCTCAACCTCCCAGAGAGCACTAAGATTGCAGGCCTGATCTGTCATGACCAGCATGAGAAAGGAATTTACTATTTGTACAGTCACACCTGGAAGACAAGGGAGACCATAGCCTGTATTAGCTTACTCTTAAGGTATACTGCCATTTGCTTCAGGTTTCAACAGGACAAGAACTGCAGTGGGGGAAGAAAAGGTTTAAGTTAGGGTGCTAGACTTAAGCTACCCTATCAAAAAACTCACTTGACTTCCCACTAGATGTAAATGAAGAATTGATTTTTTTTTTTTTTTTTTTTTTTGGTTACCGGGAATCAAACTCAGGACCTTGAACTTGCCAGCCAGGCACCTGCACTGCTGAGCTATATCCCTGACCCTGTAAATGTGAAAGGAGCATTTCTTTGTTTGGCTCCATGTACAGTACCTAGGAACTGCAGTGCCATCCTGGATCTTTGTCTTGCGCATGTGCGGGTCTCCAGGACCTTCACACATTCCTGCCAGTTGTTTGCACCAGACCTAATCTTCTGCCCCATTACCCACTATTAGGCAGATAGTCCTTCAATGTCTGTGTGCAGCTTTTAGCAGAAATATGATCCAAAGTTTAAGGTAGCAAAGGAGATGGTACAAAATGATAGCAGAGGTGTCAAACTTTCGTCCTGCTTTTAGCCACCATCATGGGTAGGACCAAGTGAAGGAAGTGTCAGTGATTTTTTGCAAAAGCAGATTTTAAGACCCTGTTACATAAGTACATTTCTACAAGGAGGAAACTGTCAAGACTGATAAAAGAGAAAAAGTGTGTAATTAGGGAAATGGCACCAGATGGGTTCCAAGGAAGTCCCCCAAAGAGACTGGGGACCTCAGTCTAAATTATAATCAGTTTTTTAAATAAGGTTGGTTACTTATGTCTCAAAATATTAGTTCCTCATAATTATAATGGGAGCAATGTCATGTATCTATCAGGTAACCATGACAATACTGCTGGGTGCACTACAAGTATGGAGGAAAAGTAGAGTTTTTCCATCTTTTCTCCATTCTTGGAATTAAAGGAAGTCAGTAAAAAGCAAAAAGGACAAACGTTAAATAAATTAAACGTATTAAAATGAAACAGATAATAATACAAAAGCACACTTCATTTCCTATCCTTCACTCACAGAATTGGGTATGTAAAGGAGAAAAGAAGAAATTCCTCTGAATTCAGTTCTATTTGTTCTTCAAAACTGGAAAATCTTTTTGAGGTAGATGTTGTGAACATCTAAAAGCACAGAACTTTTGGAGGCTGAGGCTGGAGGATCCCAAGTTTGAGCCCAGTCTAGATATTTTAGGCTCCTCAATAAATTAACAAATATATATATAAATAGACTTGGAATGCCGCTCCGTACAAAATACCTAGGTTAGTAAGGATAGATTTTACTCATTTATAATTATTGTGATAAGAAAAAGATCCCTTGGCAACTGAACTCAACTTCACTAAAAAGAAAGTTAAGAAATTTTAAATCCTGGGATGCTGTGAGGAAATAGCAGTGAGGAGTGGTAAAGAAGGTTTACCCTTGTAGCAAGGCCATTTGAGTTTACGGTGTTTATCTGGAACACAAGTAAACTTCTCTGCCTTTTATAATAAACTATGATGGGAGGCTGTGTAATGTATCAACAGAGCACAGAACTGGGACAGAAAGAAGGAATTAGCTCTAGGAATGCTTGCATTTCAAGGAGAAAGTCCTTGATCACTGGGAAGACAGATGTGGTTGCCAGAAGATATACATCTCAAAGGAACAAAGACTAGATTTTAATTGCAAGGCTGCCAAAATAACTGCTCTCCAAGGGATTTGAAGTGTGAAGTAGTAGTGTATTCTGGTGTTTGTTTAAGTCTGTCACTGTGTAGGGCAGGGTCGCAGAAGAGGGAGTGCCTGAAATCAGCTGGACTCTGAGAGTCTGCGATTCTGAGAGTCTGCGGTTTTTCTAAGCCAATGTTCAAGCCCAGTGGAGAAGTTTGCTCAAAGGCTCCTAAGCACAGTCTGATTCTTGACAGCTTTGTCAAGAAATAAAGTTTAAAAGAAGTTGTAGCATTAATTACAGGTTTTGGTTGAAGGTAGAACTGACAAGAGATTAGCTATATAAATATTGACGTTGTTTGTTTTAGATTTTTTAATATCAATTTTATTTTCCCTAAAACCTTTCACTTAATCCCTCCGATAGCATCCAAGAGAGATATTTCACTGCTAAGGGAACAGTGATATTCGAAATATGCTAAAAGCCTTGAAACAATTTTTTTCACCTGCTGGGCACAATGACATTTCTTTATAGTAATTCTCTTGAAAAAGAATGTCAATTGAACTAAAATGGGGCAGATGTTTTGAAATGACTGCAGTTTTGAAATGATTATGGTTACTGGCGAGCAAACATATTGGGAGAAACCGAAAAATGAATCTATTTTTCCCTTCTATAATAATACCAAAGTTGAATTGCATTCTTAAAGAAAAACGTTAATGCAAACATTTTCCTTGTTTAATACTGCGACTTTTTTTTTTGAGGATGCCAAATAATATGAAAAACAGTTGCCCCATATGGGAATTTTAAAAATGTAAAAATATTTATAAAAGCCTTACCTGTTAGCCTAATTTTAAATGTGAATACATTTCTATAGACACCGAGAATACTTGAGGCAGACAAGTAAATATTAGTGCACCTTAACACTTATTAGATAACAATATTTTTAGCACATCTCAAAACACATACTATTAAACCGCCTCTGAGAAGCATTCAAAACATTTTTCAAGCAAAGAAAGACAGTTTCTTTTGTCATTATTACTATTTACCTACTAGTGCACGGTACTAAGTAATAGTGCAGTTGCAAAAGCAATACTCTACTATTAATCTATTCAAAGGCGTGAATATGTCACATTGACATTTTCCCAAGTCGACAATACTGGCCTAACTTGGGGGTAGTTGTATACTTTTAGAAAATTTTCTTTTACTTATCAGATACTTTTATTTGTTTGTTTGTTTGTTTTTTTGTTTTTTTGTTTTTCTCCGGTACCAGGAACCGAACTCACGACCTTGCGCATGCCAGGCAGGCGCTTTTGCCGCTGAGCTAAATCCCCAGCCCCTATCAGATACTTTTAAATGCTTAATGCTCAGCACTGTTGGCCATTGTTTACACAGTGATTAACTGAAATATTTTTTTTGCCTTCTTAGAGTATACAGTTTGGTGGTAAATATATTTATAGTGTAATTACATTGATATATAACATATTTACATAGGTATTTAGATACATACATGTGTCTATGTGTGTATGTTATGATGAAAGGGGTCTCTTTCTTTATAAACTAATGTTATTCATGCAGTGACTACTAGTTGCTCGTTATTCCAGCCAAAATAAAAGGACAGCTTTAAATTTTGCTATTTGTATATTATTTATTTTATAACCATGGCCTCACTGAATTAATCAAAGTAACTAATTTTTATCTTACAATGTACCGCTTTCCTAATTTAAAAGTAGATATCTTTCGCCAGTAAAATATAGATAAATCATTTTTGCCTTATCACTGTAGATATAGAAAAAATATAGAGAGATACTATCCTCCTATGCATCTATGTATATTAGTGTATACATTTGTTTATACACATAAGTTGAATGTTCAAATCATTAATGAATGTGCATTCCTTGGAAGATATGTACAGCTGATTAGCAAAGCTATGTAAGGCTCAGCATATTCCTTTCAATTATACTGGAACTACTGGTGCTGTTTTATATCTACAGGTTAAATAGAACTATACTCCAAAGTTTTACAGAAGTGACAATCATCCTTTCCCATATTCTATCATATACAATTAAGTTTTGCCATTGGATGATTTTTTTTTACTATTCTTTTATTATTTGTACACAACCACCTAATAAGAGTGGGCTTTCTTATCTTTATTCATAGCATGCTGATGAATTTCAAGCTGAGAGAGAACGATGTTAATGATTAGTGTTTAACTGAGGAAAACAATGGATACAATCTAAAATCTGTTCCTCTCCTTTTATAGATGAATGTTCCCTGAACAACGGGGGCTGTAGCAACCAGTGTTCCGTTGTTCCTGGAAGAGGAATTGTCTGTTCCTGCCCTAAAGGTCTCCAACTCAACCAAGACAACAAAACGTGTGAAATTGTGGATTATTGTAGCACTCATCTGAAGTGCAGTCAGGCATGTGAGCAGCACAAGCACATGGTCAAGTGCTCATGCTATGAAGGCTGGAGGCTGGAGGCGGACGGTGAAAGCTGCACCAGTGTTGGTAAGCAGGGGTTGTGCATGTGTTGTCATGTTTAAGGATAGATCCTGAGGGGGAAAATTCCTCTCAGAACACTCAAGAAAATTAGTAACAGGACTCAACTCCTTTTAAATGCAATATTTAACGCGAGTAAATCATTTTAGACCTACTCCAAAACTTGTGATGAGAAAGCATTACAGTAACTCTTACTATTGAATATTGAATGACCATTAGGTTATTTTTTCTATAAGTACTGCTTGAATTATCACACTCTATTAGCTTATGCTGAATTTCCTGAAGCATTCATCTTTTTTTCTGAGAATGTTTATAGCATCCCCAGAGTGCCTGCCGGGAGCACATTTCCGATTATTTCTACCATTCATGAAGTCAGTGCCTTGCTCTCTCTGTTCATCTTCAGACCGCCCATTCCTGACATTCTGCTGATTCTCTACATGATATTTCATAATGGGGAAAGCAACAAAACATTAAAATCTGATGCTTGAATTTAGAACTTGCAGTGGTCATTGGCTGTGTATGCGACCCTTGGCAACTTACATAAAAGCTCTTTAGCCTCAGCGTTCTCATTCTCAGTAACAATGTCCTCACTTCCATAGAGCCTGCTGCAAGCATATCAGGAGGAACTTAGTGTACTCTCACCCATTAGATGCTTAGGGAATAATGGCTTCCCATCTGAAGTCATAGTCTCCTGGGGTCCATGACTTTCGCACACTCTTATACTGTTATTTTCTTCAGCTTTTGGTTAAAAGTCATCATTTCTTCTACTCATGAATATGTGCCACAGACCACAGATCTTATTAGCAAGAACTATTCACTTGTTTCCAATAAAAATAATAGATATATGTGTGTTAAAGTGAGGTATATGTAAATCAGAATTCTTCCACATATCACAAAGTATTGCATGCGCTCAGAATTTGACAATCGCTATTAATTCAGTGATGAGAATCATTTGGCAATTGTCTCACACAGTTATCAATTTCATAAATAAACTTTTCTTGGTAGGCATCATCTTTTCAACTTTTTCCAACACAAAATGAGGTGACAATAAAGACTAAAATGTCTTATCAAATAGAGTTTGAATTTTATGCCATCAAAATGAGAAAATGAGCATTGTATTACTATGTCCAAGTATTTCTTTTCAAATTTCTATAGGTACATTCTTATATATTTGTTTTCTTCTTTATGTATAATTTTAATAAACAGTCTATTAATGTTTTTGAAGTTTTTAAAACTTTCTAATGAACCAGATATAGTGCTGCATTGCTGTTATCCCAGCACTCAGGAGGCTGAGGTAGCAGGATCGCTGAAAGTTCAAGACCAGCCTGGGCTACAAAGTGAGTTCAAGGCCAGCCTGAATTGGATAGTGAAATCCTGTCTCAAAAAGATAAACAAATGAATAGAGAAATAAAAAAAAATTATAAGAAGGGGTCCACATGCTTCATTAGAGTGCTATGAACCCACACACTGTAAATTTTTACTCATTTTATTTCTTTTACTTAGTTAATACTTTCCCATCTTTATCTCCACAAATTTGGAATGTCCTTTGAGATGTATTAACACAAATTTTTCTTCATTAACTACAACTTCTTCCAATGAGACTTGTTCTTCACTTACTTCTCCTTTCAGTGCCTACAATATATCGTTCACACAATATATGGTCACAAATTTAAATAATGGTTTTATACTCCTATCTATGATTTTTTTTACTCCTATCTTTCTATGTTTATTTTTCCAATGAAACAATAAGAATTTCAAAGTCAAATAAGTTTATAGTCTTTTCATTGTGTTTTACTTATTGTTTAGCCCATTTCAGGTAAAATAATATGAATTTAATAAATACAACACTTAGAAACAAATTATTTTAATATATTATTTTATTTCACAGTTAGTTTGGTAGGTGTTTTATTCGGGTATTGAAATTTGAGTAGTAAATAATGAGGTTCACAACAGCATCAAGAAAATTTGAGTTCAACAATGGTTCTTATACTGCATATTGTTTTCAGATCAGTCATTCTAATTACCAAATTCAAGCATGTAAAATTGGCCAAGAAAAAAGAAAATTTTAAGCATTGACTGCTCCTATAAACTACATACTACCATTTTGTATGGTGAAACTCTGCATCATTTCCAATGTTTTTTTTTTTTTAATTATTTTTATTTTTATTTCGCTTGTTACTGTCTTTGTTTGTTTGATCAGTCTTACATTCTTATGTCTAATGGACTGAGCAACTTTGGTGAAGATAACGGTATGTAATATAGCAACCATTGTAAATTTCTATTATTTTGTCTTGAGGTCATGTATCATTTTTGTTGTTTTTGTGTTTTTTTGATTTTGTCTTCATTGTTGTTTTGTCAGGGTTTTTTTTTTTAATTTTTAAAATAAAAAAGAGAAAATTTGAAACCAGGAATTAACCTAATTAAGGAAGCAAAAGATTTCTACAATGAAAACTACAGTATTCTGATAAAAATACTCTGAGATCAAAGAGTACATCAGAAAGTGGAAAGATGTTCCTTGTGCCTTGATAGGTAGAAACAATAGTGTAAAATTTGCCATACTTCCATAATTGAGAGGTAGACTCAATGCAATTACAATCAAAATAGCAACAACACTCCTCACAGGACTAGCAAAATCAATCCTTATGTTCATATGGAACCACTAGAGACCCAGAATACCAAAATCAAACATGAGCAAGAATAGCAAGGCAAGAGACATCACAATCTCAAATTTCAAGTTATATAACAAAGTTTCAGTGATTAAAAATGATACAGGCATAATGAAGGAGAATAGAGGACTCAGAAATAAGCACAGGCAGACTCAGATGTCTGACCTGTGACAAAAGAACCAAAACTTTATGCTGGAGGAAAGAGAGATTCTTTAGCACATGGTGCTGGAAATTGGTTTCTCATGTACAGAAGACTGAATTTAGATGCAAACTCTCCTCAGCACGTCCTAAACTAAAATCAAAAGGTATCAAAGATCTAAATATTAAAAAGAAACACTTACCCTGCTAGAAGATAAAAAAAAGGTAAAACTCTTGAGGACTTAGATGTAGGTAAGATTTTCTGAGCAGACCTCCGCTTGCACAAGAAATGATATCAAACAGTATTATTTAAACTCAGAAAGCTTCTGTATAGCAAAACAAAAGTGTGAAGAGACAACCTACAGATTGGGTAAAAATTTTATCCAAGCTACACCTCACACAGAGGACTAATATCTAGAGTATATGAAGGATAAAAAAAGACACTCCCTAATAAAAGAGCCAATCAAAAATGGGCAGTTGAGGGGCTGGGGATTTAGCTCAGCGGCAAAAAGCGTCTGCCTGGCAAACGCAAGGTCGTGAGTTCAGTTCCCGGTACCGGAGAAAAACCAAAAAAAAAAAAAAAAAAAAAAAAAATTGGGCAGTTGAAGTGCAAATAAGCTACTCAGAAGAAGGAGTAAAAATGGCCAACAAATACATGAAAAAATATTCAATATCACTGTCTACTATGGAAATGCAAATTGAGAGAGCACTAACATGCCTTCTTACTGCAAAAAGAATGGCTATCATCAAGAAGTAGAACAATAACAAATGTCGGCAAAGTTGTAGGGAAAAGGGAATCCTTCTGCATTGCTGGTGGGAACATAAACTAGTAAAAAACCATTATGAAAGTCACTGAGACTCCTCAAAAATCTAAAAATAGAAATCGCATTTGACCTAGTCATTCCCCTTCTGATTATCTTTCCAAAAGAGCTAAAAGCACCATATTACAGTGATCCATGCATACTCATGTTCATGGCAGCATAAGTCATAATAGCTAAATCTTCAAAGCACCCTGTATGTCCATCAACAGATGAATGGATAAAGAAAAAGTGATATTTACATATGGTAGAGCATTTCTCTGCCATGAACCTTTAAAGGTAAACTGGAGTCATTCACAGGAAAATTGATGCACCTAGAGACCACAAATGTTAGTGAAATAAATCAGACTCATAAGTTTAATTATCACATTGTTGCTCTTTTATGAGAAATCCAAAGTATAAATAAACAGCACAATAAGAGATAGATAGTAGGAAGTAGGGAGATAGATCTTGTTCAGAGGGGAAGGGGATCAAGAAATGGAGGAAGAAGGGAAGGAAGAAGAGGGAGGGGTGAAAAATGAAGAACAAAGATGCACAAATATCAACTTCACACAGAGAATTTTAACATTATGTACTACAAATGTGTACTAATAATGAAAATTACTTTTAAAGACACATTTAGACTCTAAACATTCCCTTCTTCTTTTTTGTTTCTGACATTTATCACTTGATTCTATCTTCTTAAAATGTACTCTTTCTGCTGAATGCAGTCCTCATGCTCAATTATTGCGATATTTGAAAGGAAAAGAAGCGCATGCTCCATGCAGTGTGTTAAAGTCGTCAGTCCTCATTCTTTTCGCGCTTGAATTTGCTTCTACAGTTCTCTTGTGTTTTCTTATTTCTTTCCACTTTCTCCCTCCTAAGTTCTTTATAGTGTGACATTTACTGAGTTGCTGGACTGAGTCTATGTGATATAAGTTCCTTCCCAATATTTTTAAAATATAATATTCTTCCATAAATATTACTTTTACACCTTTTAATGTTTTACCAATATGACGTCACTTAAATATCTCCATAACATGCTTTATCAATTCCTTACATTTTCCCTATTTATAATTTATTCAGCATCATGTGCCTGCAATATTGGTTTACTTTAAGTTGCTCTATGTGAACTTATCTGTCACTTCTAACCATTAGATTGTACCACATTGTACATACCTTATATTCTGTTCACCACTCTACCATATGAGCACATTCAAGTTGTCTCAAACTATGCCTTTATATAGACGTACATATATCTGTCTTTTTATATATTTGCATAACAGTTTCCTTGGGGTCAGTATTAGTGAGTTGCAGAATGTGTTTATACTTACTATGATTAAATAGAACTAGTTGTTCTTCAGAGTAGTTGTAAATTCTACATTTTTATCAAGAGTAACATTTCCAAGATTCCTTCTATATGGAGGAAGAAGGGAAAGAAGAAGAGGGAGGGCTGAAAAATGAAGAGAGATTCTTTAGCACATCGTGCTGGAAAGAGCTTTGGCAGCTCTCTTATCCAACTTTCAAAAAAAAAAATCATCCAACTTTCTAGATTTCCTTTCCAATGTAAATGTAATGTAAATTAACATATCACTGTTTTATGTTATATTTTTCTTATTATTTACAAGTTTGTACATCTCCTTGCATAGTTCTTAGCATTTTATATCTTTTAGTCTCACTTGACCATTGCCCTATTAACATTACTGTATTTTCTGATTAATTCTACGTTCTGAACATTCACTATTCCAAATGTCTACTTTGTTTAGTTATTTATTAATTTTATTCAGGTTGACATTTCATGAACATTTTCTCTTTCTCCTTACTTCATTTTATTCCTTTACTTTTTTCTTCCTTAATATTTAATGTCTTTGGTGAAAAATATTTAATTGATTCTATAATAGCCATTGTTTCACCTATGAGGTCAAAAACATTTCCTGAATAGCATCTGAAAAATACACTGAGCTAACCTATGTCTTGAAAGACAAATATTTTTTGTCCTGTGGTACAACTGTCATTGAAGTTCTTATTTCTAACTGAAACCTCTTGAGAATGGCATTTAGTGTCCACATTCATGAGATTATTAAGATCTTCTGTTCTCAGATCAGCATCATTCATCAGAATCTGCTCACAGCAATCTCAGAGATCTCTAGTGCAGATCTCCAAAATTTTCCATTTCTCCCACAAACAAATTTCAAAGGATTCTAAACCACATGATCAAGTCTAGTCACTGCAATGATACCACTTCTCAGATACCAGTTTTCTGTTTTAGTCAGATTTCTTGCTGGGACATAATAAACAATATGCACAAATTAAAGGAGGAGAGTTTTAATCTGGCTTACATCTCAAGGGATTCAGTTCATGACCAGCTGGACCCAAGGTAGAAACATCAAGGCAGAAGGGTATGAGAAAACCGAGCTGCTTACTGAATTCATTGAATACAGAAACGGAGTAGCACTTGACAAAAGGGGCCAGAGACCACATATAGTACCTAAAGTCATGTCCTCTGGACATATCCAGAGTTATACTCCACCAGTCTGCTGAGTGGAGCAAGAAAGCTGACAAAACCAAGCTTCACAGTCACACCAAGTATTAAAAGATTTTATTTGTGAATAATACAAGGCTAAATATTGCAGTGCTCAACAGTTCAAATAACCTTACAGAAGCTAGAAGGATATGAACATTAGCAGCACAGGCATAGCGATCTGCTCAGTAACTGCCAAGTGAGCCCAATAAATCTCTTCACAAAATCTCGTGTGTTAGATCATTAACGCTTTCTCCTTGATATAGAATAGGCTGAGTAGCAGAACTAGTTTTGTCAACAGGTAACAAATCCTGTGGTGGTGGTTCTGAGCTGGGGAAGGTTCTGAACCTTTCATTTTGCCTTTGTATTGAAACTATTCTCATATTTTTCTTCTTTATATAATCAATACATTTTCAAATGAATAGATTTTGACTTCAACATTTCATTTAATTTACTCAAAGTATATAAATGTTTTCTTAAGCCTATTAAAAATAAATCTAATTTCAGATCCTTTTGAAGCATTCATCATCTTTTCTATTCGCCATGAGATCCGAAGGATTGATCTTCATAAAAGAGACTATAGCCTGTTAGTTCCTGGACTGAGAAATACCATCGCACTGGATTTTCACTTCAATCAAAGTTTACTTTATTGGACAGACGTTGTAGAAGACAGAATATATAGGGGCAAGCTTTCTGAAAGCGGAGGTAGATAGATCATCATTTCACTTCATCTTTAAGCTACTTTTCAAGTGAAAATTCCAAAATGCGTGGTGATATCAGGAAAATTTTTGATTATTCTTTGATTTATGGTTCTCTATCCCACCTTTCTATTTATAAAGCTAGACATGTCACACATATGTATGAAGACATGTTGAAGGAGTGCCATGGGGAAGGGCTTCTCTGCTCATCCTATGTCTAATTGTGGACTTTCCCATAGACTTATGGGGAAGAACTGTATTTACTGTGGAGGGGGATTGATTTCTACATATATGTAGTCAAATTTTTGCAAGTTAAAATAGCTTGCTTTTTATTTAGTTATTGTCTTTCTTCATAAGTCAAAGAAACAATGAAGTTTGTATAAAGGCTGCTAACCTTAGCTCAATCATTCTGCCATAGTTTGTATAAACTAGATATTTCTTAAGTAACAATATAAAATATTTTACTGGAAAAGGTGCCTTTCTGTAGCACTCCAAGAGCAAGGTATATTTCTGAAATTGTTAATTACTCTCTAAATTACACCTGCAATTTTGAAAAATTTTGGCTCTGTATCATATAAATTTAAAAGGATGGATTTAGATCCATGGGACTAGATTGTTAATTATTAAAGGAAACAATTTTTAAATTTCTAACCAAAACTACCCACAGTATCATAAAGTATGATGCTATCCAATTAGAGAAAAACCATGTTTTTCAGAATGAAATTTTTAAACATTTTGTAAAATAATTATTGCATAAATAAGAAAATTGATGGACCTTGCTACATTGTTTATTTTTAATTCAGTCCACATTAATCTCTCTTTCTTTTGCATTCATCCTTGTTATATGCTCTACATCTTATAGACATGGGAGGTGGTGTTATTCAGGGATCATTTTGTTAAGGTTAAATGCAGTAATAGTGATGTTATCTCTCATGCATCTAAAGAATGAATAAGTATGGCTATTTGATTATCCATAAAGTACATTGCTCCCAATAGCTTTACTATTTTATTCTACCCTTGAAAGTCAACATTTGAATTAAATTTCACTAATTGTAATGGAAACAAGACATGTCTTTTTTTGCTGTGTCTTACTGGTACCAGCCTCAAAATTGTGTAACAGTGTCACCCTGTTGTTAATGAAAAGATTTATGAAATGAAATCGTGAAAATTTTAAATTTGGGAATGCTTAGTTTCCTCTGGGACAGGTAGCACTTTCACACGCTGTCTCTTCTGGTTAAAATCAGGTTGACGTTCTCTGTCCTGCTGCTGGTAAGCCCGTTTCTTTGGTATCTCACACATCCCGTGAATGGCTGCACATGTCGGTTCCCCTTCTTTCACAGGTGTCAGTGCCATAGAGGTTGTGGTGCAGCACGGGCTGGCTACTCCAGAAGGCCTGACAGTTGACTGGATAGCTGGCAACATATACTGGATCGACAGCAATCTGGACCAAATCGAAGTGGCCAAACTGGATGGTTCCCTAAGAACTACGCTGATAGCAGGAGCCATGGAACACCCCAGGGCCATTGCACTGGACCCAAGATTTGGGTAAACAAATTTGTCATTTACACAATCATTTGTTCTGAAAATAATCTCTCAGTTTAATATTGACTGTCAGCCATAAATTTTGCACCAAATTGCTTGTTTTGAGCATATATATGCATATGTGTGCATACTTGTGTGTGTTTAGTTGTGTATACAGGACAACAATAAGTTTATTTCCACGAGTTTGGTCACAGGATTATAACATGGGTACTTTTAGAGTCTCAAAGTATTTTTCTAAATATGGGTATTCAGCCCTACTGGAAGTTATTGCAACTCTTTCTCAAAGCAGTAATTTAATGAATTTCTCTTAGCCCTGCCAAAGAAATACTGTAATTGTTTGTAACAGCTAGAAACCGCAGGGTGGGACTTTGTTCTCGATGGTCACAGATGTTAACCACTTCACTCTTTATTTATTTTGTATGCTGTCGAAGTCAGTTTAAAAGAAAATTAAGACAATCTTGAAAGATCCCAGCTGTGATATGCTGACTATTGGAAAACCTGAAAGACAAAGTACATAACCCTGGACAGCAAGGTGAACTCTTGACTCAGGCTACTCCCCCGTGGTTCCTCAAGGCTTTTGTTTTGTAGGAGTAGAAAACAACACACTGGATTAAGATCAGTAGATATGAGTTCCAGTCCTACTCATTCATTCTCGATCGGGAATCGAGTGTATTATTTTCCTTTAGTTGTCAGTTTTCACTCTGTAAACAAGACTAAAATAATTTCCTCTTTATTTGTTCCCTTCTCAACCTTCTCCTCTTCTTCCTTTTCTGCTTCTCTTTCTTTCCTTCTTTTCTTTTTCTTTCTTTCTTTCTTTCTTTCTTTCTTTCTTTCTTTCTTTCTTTCTTTCTTTTCTTTCTTTCCTTTTTTCTTTTCTTCCTCTCTCTCCCTCCTTCTCTCTCTCTCTGTAGCTCCCTTCCCTTCTCTCTCTCCCTCTCTCTCTTTCACCAGGGACTTGCTAGATTACTAAATTGTACAGGTTGAGCTTGAATGCTTAATGTTCTCCAAAGTGCTACAATTACAAGCGTGCAGCATACCAGACAACTTTTGGAGAATAGGAATATATATATATATATATATGGACTAAGGAATATATATATATATGTATATGGACTAAGATGAGCTGATGTTCAAGAATGTGTATAATTCTATTTATTTTCTTAGTAATCGGTCTACAAATCCAAATCTACTGTCAAATCAAGAATATTGGATAATATTTCTAGGAGAACTTTGGGATCGTCTCTCAGGGGAAAAGAGTAAAACAAGAGGGAATTTAATGAAATACAGAAGACAGGAAAAACTTCCCTGTGTTTAAATTACCCCCTGGCCACACACTCTGGATTTTGCTCTGGTCTATGCCCAAGACTCAGACAAAAAATACACAGTGAAGTTTGTTTTCCTTTTCTTTAATTTAGATACTGGAATGAAAGGGGCAAAGCAGCCTGGCGGAAGCAGGGATCCCAAATCAGCAACCTTCACTGTGGTGTTTGCTTTAACTGCAACAGTGTTTGAAATATATTTGAGTCAATTGTCAAAATTTAAAATATTGAGAGATTTTAACCTGAAGTTTGGAGTTTTCACTCCTTTTGAAACTAGGGAAATCTGTCAATAATGAGCTGAGACGTAGATATTTTCTTAGCCTAGAGGAATATTCTCTAATTTACAGTCTATACTTTATGCAATTCACTAGCCACTTTCTGTAATAACAGTTCACCTGGAAACAACCCGGTCGGCTTAATGAGAAAAACCCTTATTTTTCAGCGCTATATTCCCAAGGTACAAATAGATTTCTGATCCCGACCCAGTACCGCTCACAAAGGTGCCAGCACATTCTCAGCAGGGGTTTCATTTCCAGTGTAACCACTACAGATGTGATGATTTCACTTATCAGACCCATGCAAGTTGTACTAGCATTTTATCTGCATGAAAAACTTTCTGTGGAACAGTGAAAGGTGCAGTGCCAGCATGCATACTAACATGAGAAGGAAAATGTGAATGCTTCCCAAATAACAAATGACACCGACAGAGACAACAAGCGGATGTGTGGAAGTTTTGAAGCTGGTGTGAACAAACAAGCAGATTTGGGAGATGCTCCACTTTCTACCACATTAAATTGACAATAGTTATGATATTTTCATTTATCTCAGTTTATTTGGAATATATCCAACCTGAGAAGAGAGGAGAAAAAAACAAAACAGAAACGAAAGGGCACACAGCTTGCTATGTAAGTGAAAACACCAAACACCAAGTGATATGAAAGAATCTCCAGAAGTAAAATACCTTCTCATATCTAATCTTAGTCCAGAAACTAGCTTGTGTAGGGAAAACTTGATGATGCTCTTGGGGGAGAGGATGCCTTCCATCTCTAATTGCTACTATGAAATTTGAAATTAATTAATATAATTAGAGTGGTAATAAGTATTTAAGAATGGCAGAAAAAAATAACACTTGTAAAATTGTTGCTGGCATAAATGACCAAAGTTCAGATGGCAGTGCTAATTTATTCTAGTCTCAGGGTTAATTGAAAGGTTGACTGGTTTGGCTGTCATGATTTGATAGGATTTTACTATTCAAATTTTTATGGAATGTTGATATGATTAAGATATGAGGTTTATTTAAACATCTTAAGCAATAATTGTAGCAATGAAATATAAAAAGAGTACAAATATAAGTTTCATGCCTATTGGATATTTTCTAAAAAGTTCTAAGATTATTGTAAACATTGGGACTCTCAAAAGGAAACTTTCACATAGGAAAACTAAACACACATACACATGTGCGTGTGTGTGCGTGCACACACGTGTGCACACACACAGAGAGAGAAAAGCAAAGCCAACCTAAGCACAGATAAAGAAACAATGAAAAGTAATTATGTTTAAACTTTATCCTATTGTCTCAGAGCTATGTATGAAGAAAGGTCTTATTTTCCTTTATTTGTTAAATTATTGATGAAATATATGAGGAAACTGTGGATCAGCACTGATGTTAGTTTGAAAGCTTTTAAAACTTATAATGCAAGTTTTTTATTTTCGAAGAAATCCACTGGGTAGTTTTTAGAGGTATGATTTGTGTAAATGTTATCAACATTCTCTACAAAACAGTAGATTTTTCATAACAAAAGGAATTGCTCCCAAGTCTGTGAAGTCTGTCACAGCTCTTGGAATATACAGCAGTGCTAAATAAATGCTTGTTAAATAAATGAATGCATACATAAAAGTTCATTTACATGCAGGGTGCAGGTACCCAAGTATGCATTTTAAGTACATTGTCAAAGACAGTCAATGGAGACTAGTATAAACCTTTTTATGTAATAAATGAAAAGAGTGAAGTGAGCTACTTCGCTCCCTCAGTATGGTGGAGAAACAAACAGTCCATAATATTATCCCAATAAAATGTGTTTACTTCATGTTGGGTTCTTATAGCAGCCAAGGTCTCTCTGACATGTTTTAAAAATACCGAAGACAAAGTGTTTTCGATTGACTATGCTTTCACAGCACCAAATGCAGTGGCTTTCACTCTATATTAGGAGACATATTTGCCATCATGCCACATGTTTTTAGCCTCCGTGTTTTGACCCAGTCTCCCAAGTGACAAGTTCTTCCAAGATGGTAAATTGGGATGCTTAGAGAGGAGCCATTTTTCTTTCTTTCCATTTTAAGGCAATGCCCTTATTACTAAGGTGACCTGAAAGTTTAAGTCAATCCTTTGTACAGTACACTCATGTCAGCTCCTGGATCTCTAACACCTTTATTCTGTGGTACTGCCTGGCGTCTCCCTGCTGCACTGCTAGGGTTTAGTTTTCATTTGTTGTGTTGTCATAATAACTGCTCTGTACTATAAGAATTGCTTTGGTGAAAAAAATTGGGACAATTAGTGACACATTCAAATAAAGCTTTAATTTTATCAGGGAATACACTAAATGAAACTAACTCATTGCCATTTTTTGAAAACCTGAACATTATAGATCAATAAAACCCACATTTTTTGAGGATTATTCTTTTATATTTTTTGCAGCTTGATGTGATAGATGATAATGGGCCTTTCATGCCTATAATGATAGCACTTGTTCTTGGTCTGTTGACTCAGTTTAATCCAGATACAAACCAACCTACCACTGCAGAAATTTCAGAATCATAGACTATAGTTTCTTTTTAAAAGCAGTTGTTGCTGAACATTCCATATGTCCTGTACAAAGAGATATTCTGTCTTTGTACACTTGGGGAAATGATGTTATCATTGAAATGCTAATCCTTTTTAAATATATATAAAGAACCAGGGGAAGATGATTTTGTTAAAATATGACATTGCAAAGGCTACAAGAATTGGCTACAATTTCATGAAACAATGATCCTTGAAATCAACTTATTTTTTAATCAACTCTTAAGATTGGTTGTGTGAACTGTTTCATGGCGGGGTTAAGAACATTTTCACAAGAACTAATTCTATCACTTATTACTTTATAAAAAGTGATAGAAATTTCTCAACAAAATTGGTGAGTGATTAGTATTACAGTGAGCGCTATGGAAGAAATATTCATGGAGGAAGTGTGAATATATAAAGGGACCACTTAAATTAGAATGCTGTAAATGATGCCAAGCCATGTTTTCCACCCAAGCAAAATACAGGTGCCTATTTCTGATAAACCTAATGTAGAAAATGCAAAAGTGCGTAACTACCAATGCATGTATTATACTTGCTGCACTACGTAAGGTGTAACTGGGTAGAAAAGGGGACAGAGCAAGTCCCCACTTGTCATAGAAGCAGAAGAGAGCGCTTCAGCAATGAGCATCAGCCCTCAGTGTGAAGTAGACCTTGTCTAACCTGATAGTGACATTTCCACAAATACTCAGAACTGCCTATGAATCCAAAATTCATGAAATTTACATTCAAGGATTGCTTTGCCTTTTCTTTTTTAAACTTGCTTTCTTTCTACATAACATTGTTTAACAAGAGGTCACCATAACTTTTATTGATGCTAGGATGATATTTTCTAACATATGCTTTAGTGCCACTTTAAAGAAAATCTGACAAATAACAAACCTGAATTCATGAGAGATTTGTGCATTCAAAATTTTATTTAAAGTGAAATGTGGTCCATTTCATATTCATCGTTTCCAAGAAAGACATTTAACTATTCAATTGAAGAACCTATTAGCCTAATACTCATTAAACTTTTTTCATTTTCTATGGAAATGGCAGTGTGTTGTATTATTTTGGGGTGAATTTTGTATGTAAATTATTTCATAGTAATGCTCCCAGGAAATTAGAACAATTTATCCAAAATAAGCTTTAAAAATAAGTCTTTTCACATGCAAAAAAAACCTCTAACAGCATTTTACAAATCTCCTCTGGTACATTTTGAACCATTTATTTAATTTTGAGGTATTCACATTTTAAAATTTTTATTGTAGAAATGTTCACATACATAAACTAGAAGGAACTCTGTCATACACTCCTTTGCACATGTTACTGAGCTTCAAAAATTGTTAATACATTATTCTTTGGCATGTTATTGCTCATTATATTTTTCCCCAACCAATTAAATTATTTAGATATTTTGGGTCCAAAGAATAAATAATTGAGATATTGTGCTTGTGGGTATTTTCTCATTACTATGGTATTGCAAACTCCTAAACCAATTTATGAAACTAAAATCATTGCTAAAAACCTATTGTTTTTTTTTTTTTAAAGAGAGTTGAAAAAAAAAGCAATAGCAAAATGCCAACAGCATAGACAAAAACAAAACAAAGCAAAAACAAGAATGGTACAGGGTTTCAGAATAAAATGGTAAGGATTAACAGTGGTTGTTATATTACATATTTTTATCTTCATTGAGGTTGCTGAGATTACCAGATATAAGAACGCAAGATTAATCAAACCGTTAAAGAGAATAGAAAATAAAAACAAAAAAATTATGAATGATACAGAGTTTCACCAAACAAGATGATAGGAATTCAACAATGCTCGTTATGTTGCATATTGCTGTCTTCAAATTAGTTGTTCAGTTTACCAGATATCAGCATGCAAAGTTGATCAAAACTAAATAAATAAATAAATAAAGCATTAACTGTCCTTTCAATAAGCCACGTTTGACAGACATTCAGTGAGGGGAATCTAGTCCTGTGCTTTCTCACTCTGAAGCATGTTCTCATGGTTTTGGTTCATAGTTAATTCCTAAAAAGACTGTTCGACATTCACATCCCTCTTGCAGTAGCACTTTACATGCTGACAGTGTTGTCCTCTGTCCCCCTACCCCGCCTCCATCCTCTCAGCCTTCCCCGTCACTTTTCTGTTTCTTCTACAGTTTGGCAAAACTTTGGAATTTTGTGTTTAAAGACATTTATTTTCTAGGGGTCGGATGTCCACGTTCAAAAAAATCTAATCTTTTCTGTGCTCTGTGCTAATCATGTTATGTGCCAAATCATGTGTGTGCAAATACAAATGTGAATATAACACAGTATAGTAGAGTGACACCTCAGTTGTCAAATAGCTTCGAGCTCAAACTATCCACTACTCACAAATCTGCTGAGGGTTCATAACTTTGCTCCGTAGTCTAACTGAAACTCTGACTTGAAATACATGTACAGGCTGAATGAGTGAGTCACAGGTCCCGTCTGGCCGTGGACACAAAGTGGGGAGCATCAGTATAAGTGCGGCTCTCGCCCAGAGAACACATAGTGACTGCGTAATTTCTGGGCCTCAGAACCAATTATTTAGGTTTCTATTATTTCTTACAAGAAAAATACACTTAATTCCTGAACTTTTCTGTGTTCAAACACGAATTTGGAACTAATTGAGTTTAATAACTAAGGTATCACTATATAGGGTAGTATAATATATAATGTAATATAATTTAATATAATGTCATGTAACATAACGTAAGGTAATACAATGTAACATAATGTATAAAAATATTTTTCCCTTGTTTAAAAACCTTCAAAGGCTCAGGTAGTTCTTATTACTTTGCACTAAAATAGGCAGGAATTTCCTTACCACGTAAAACCGTACGAGTACTTTCCTGGGTTTCAAGTCCTTCCGGCTTCTCGTTACCGGCACACCTCTGGTACAGCGGCCTTACTTCTACACCTGGCGTCACCGACACTCTTCTCCTCGCCAGGCCTTAGTATACGTGGCTCATTCTACAGATGCTGCTCTTCATGCTGCTTTTCTCATCCTTCCCTTTCAGTCAAATACCAACTCCTCAAAGTTCTCTGCCCCGATCACTGTATTTAACTAGGCCCCTCATTCGCTATTCACTCTCATAGCAACTGGTTTTCTTCAAAATATTTTGCAAGTTACCGTTATTTATTCATGGATTTCAGTCTGTTTCCTCCTCTGGAATCTAAGGTCCTCAAGTAGGTAATACAACTATTTCTCTTGCAACTTTTCACCTGAGTAGCTGGCATATAGTAAGCATTCAATCAGTATTTCTGACATGAATGACTGACTAGTGGCATTATTTCTTCTTCTCAGGATTCTTTTCTGGACAGACTGGGATGCCAATTTTCCTCGCATAGAATCAGCTTCTATGAGTGGTGCTGGGAGAAAAACCATCTACAAAGACATGAAAACCGGGGCTTGGCCGAATGGACTAACTGTGGACCACTTCGAAAAAAGGATAGTTTGGACAGATGCCAGGTTTTAAAAACGATCTCTTTTCTATATTTTATTTCCTCAGATACTTTCCTCTGATAATATTAACAGCTTTGGAAAGTGTCCTAATGTACAGGTGTAATGTATATACACATTGATATTGGTGAGCTTTTTTGTTTTGGCTTTAGGCAAATCAGACACTGACCTATGAAATATTTACAAAGAATTTTCTCTTATTTATGTGAGTTGCATGATTATAATCTCTGGACTATACTATAAACTAATATGTACTTTTCTCTAGGTCAGATGCTATTTACTCGGCCCTCTATGATGGAACAAACATGATAGAGATCATTCGAGGTCACGAGTACCTTTCCCACCCCTTTGCTGTGTCTCTGTATGGGAGCGAGGTTTACTGGACAGACTGGAGGACCAACACACTGTCGAAGGCCAACAAGTGGACAGGGCAGAATGTCAGTGTGATCCAGAAAACCAGCGCGCAGCCATTTGACCTTCAGATTTACCACCCTAGTCGCCAACCACAGGGTAAGTGTCCATTATCCGCTAATCAAAAAGTGTTTGCCTGTGAGTCATGTAGTGTGTGTACTTTAACATAACTTCCACAACTTAACCATTACTGCCATTTATTATATATGTAAGTGGTTTCAGCCTTTAACTAGAGAAAGTCTTTTCTCTTTCCCTTTTTAATTTTGATGACCTGGAAATACACAGACAGATCTGAGAAATGAAGGCTATAACACTTAGTTCAATTTTTCACCGATAGAATTGCACCAACAAGACGCTGTGGGAAGGTGAACATGGTCTTTGTGTTCAGATTCTGTTACACATATATGACCAGTAATTTACAAGAGAACACCGAGGACATATTTGTGCTACCTGCCCCCAGTGGAGTCTCTGGGGAGCATGCTGGGAGGTAGAAGGTGGGAATGGGAAATGGGTGCCCGTTTGTTTGATTTCCTCTGTTTCAAGTGAAGTGAGATGACAGAAGATTTATTCTGCTTCTCCTTGCGTATCCCACGTTTTGGCTCAGAGGTAATTTCTCATGGGTTTGTGATTTCGTTTTTGCTATTTCATTTTTACTCAATACTTGCAAATGTCCTTATACCACATCTCAGTTGTTGGTTTGTTTCTTTATTTTATGGGCAACCAGGGCCATCTGGTGTAGCCTCAGTGCATCTTTTACACCGTTCCACATTAATTGTGACGTAACCTGTGGAAATCTCATTCTTATGCAAATTATGTTCACTTTGTTTTAAAATTGTGTACATGTGATTCTCAGATGACAGAAGATACATTTCCTCTTCATTCCTTTCTGTCAGTGCATAGTTCTTGTAAGTCATTGGAATATCCGCTTTTGTGATCAACACTTCAAGCCTTATTTTAAATTTGTGTTATAGATCAGCAATGGTGAACCTTTTAGAGCTTTCAGTGATACAAATAGGCCTCTATAGCACACGTGCTATAGGTTCACACCATTGCCCTAGAGCTTCTGCACTGGACTATACTCCGTCACCTCTGTGGTTGACATTACCCCATGACTAACCTTTGCCTTTCTTTAGTACTTGGCTTTTATTCTCCTTTAGTACCCTTTCTTCTACCAACCTTCTGCACACATGGACTCTTCTGCACCTTCTCTCTTTCCATCTAGTTGAATTCTCTCACGTGTTTTTTTTTTTTCCGGTACCGGGAATCAAACTCACGAGCTTGCTCTTGCAGGGCAGGCGCTCTGCCGCTGAGCTAAATCCCCAGCCCCTTCTCTCAGGTGTTTTCAATTTCTCAGTTTAACATTTCTTATATGACTGATCCTCTTTTGCTACATGAGAGTAACTGAATCCTAGACTATGGGAGCAATTATTTAATCCTTTCCAACATCTTGATGGTACAAAGAAATTGTATAACTTAATGAGTTTTGCACTTAATAAGTGTTCCGTAAATAGACTAAATTTAAATAAGCAAAGCAAGATATTATCATTCTGACCAGTAATATGCTACTGGTGTAATCAAAAAGATACTCTTCTTTAAAAGTTTCTTTCACTGTGGAGGATTATCTGTCTCAGACGCTGTACATGACAAGTGCTTATAAGATATGATAGGTTTTGATACTTATTACACAGCTATATTTTCCCCCTAGATTGTTTATTATTTTTTGAGAATTTTAAGCTTATGTTTAGAGCAATTTAAGTAAAGTAGGCCATGAAAATGGCCCGTACCTATGTACTGCAAAGTTTCCTGTCTGACCTTTCCACACAGGACCATTGGGAAATTCATAGACTACAAAGAACAGCACACTGTCCAGCCTTCTTGGTACTTTTCTACAGATGGAAAAGAAGTGAGATATTAACAGTAATAAAATTGGTTGAGAGGAAGTGTTTTTGATATTTTTATTTACCTCAAAATGGAGATCCTGAGATTTCTCTATTTGCAAACAATCAGACAGCTTTTCCTACGTGGATTTAATTTAACATACTTCTCAATATGCAAAGAAGATAGTCTAGTCTTTTTACATACATTTAGAGATTACCATCTAAAAAGAGTATTTGCACTTTCCTAAATGAAATTGGGTAAGCTCCAGATTTTCAGAGTGATCAGAGATCATTCTACTTTTCCCCATTACAAGGATCAGTGAGCATATAACAATCATTACCTGTCCTACTTATCTGCTTCAGTGAAATACACTTCCACTGCTAGGGGACAAAAGGATGCGGGAACATATCCACTGTTATTAGCAAGGATAGAATGAAAATGAAAATGGTGACACAAGCTCAGCATTAACACAGAAAAGTAATAGTCTCCTCTCCTGAATGATAGTGTGAGGATCATGAAAGGAATACGGGATTTTAAAAAATGCATACCTTCTCCTGCTATGAAATTGAAATACATCTTTCACAAATTATGAATAAAGAATGCAAATACTCTTTGAAGAAATAAAGACTGTAAATACTCTATCTAATCCAAATAGGAAATTAATAAAAGTTTTAATACTAGTTTTCTTAGAAGTAAGCATTCAGTGAGTACAATAGTGGACACAAACAGAATAGTTTAAAAATCTATTGTAGATCTTTTAGTTCTTATGGTGTTGCTACACCAAATTAGGAAAAAATAAGTCAAAACCTAAACATTTGCAATACAAATAAGCAATGGGAAGAATTTAAAATGTAAATTAAAAAGAAATACAGTAGTAGGGATCCAACCGTAATGTCAGGAACTGGAATCCAAAATGGTGACTTACTAATTACCTGACATTCCCTTCATCAGTAACATAGTTTTATTTTAAACACGACTCTAAGACTTTATGATTAAACGTTATTGGCAAATTATTAAAAAAATCTCTGTTCCTGTTTTACTAACGCTTAATTAGAGGTAAGAGTATATATACCTAAATCTATAGAAACTATTTTGCAATTTAATACACAGATATTAAACATAAATTCATATGTAAAACATTTTTAGAATACTACATCAGGCCTGAGGACCAAGAGCATTGGGGATAGAGGGCAGGAAAAGACCGACGTACAAACTCTGACAGCAAACAAAATTGCCCTTTCTCCACCTTTTTATTTCACTACCTCAACAGATTAGGCGACGCCACCGGAGCTGGTGAAGGCAGGATCTTCTCACTCAGTGTCCCAGTCCAAAGGCGAATGTTCTCCCAAAACATGCCCCCAAATAATGCTTTACCAGCCATCTGGGTGTTTGTGTGCCCTGACAAATTGGTACATAAAATTTCATCACAGAAAAATGCTGCAGTAAATCACAGAGGGCGGCTGGCAGCAAAATCCGGGAGATGCAACAGAGAGCACGGTACTGTGTAGCTGAGGAACAGACAGAGGCAAAGTTAACTTAATCAAATAGTGCTACAAGTTGTGGCTGAGGAGGGTGGGGAGGGAAAGCAGTGAGCCCCCAGCTTCAGGCATTGGCTTCAGCCGCAGTGTGACAGAGACCATGCGGGAAGGGTTAAGACAGTCCTCAGCTACTGGATCTACAGAGGCACGTATTTTAGGCTTTGCGGGCCACGCCATCCCTTTTGCAGTTACTCAGAAAGCTACAGTAACGTAAACATGGCCAAGTGAAACGTGAGTAAGTGTAACTATATAAAAATAGGTCCTACTATTTGGATGCTGGAGTTTGAACTTCATGTAATTTCTTTGCATTATGAAATATTACTCTTTGTGAAAGTTTTCTTAAGCCATTTAAGAAAGGACTCATAGGTCAGTGTTAGCCTTTTGGCCAGAATTTGCTGAAAACTGGTTAAAAGAGTGTGGACTGGACCTGGAGTTTTTGTAATCATTCCATTGTAGATTGAAGACAGAAAAGGTGGAGGAGATCTCTTACGACTATGTAAGTCAGAAAATGAGGAAAAGGCAAGGAAAAGGGAAGGATAGGTCCTTGGAAGATACCAGTACAAAGAGGAGGGCAAAGAAGAATGTTGTGGGAAAAGGGACCAAAAGATTACAGAATCATAAGACAGCATAATCACCAAAACTAAGGGTAAAGTTTCAAGACGACATTGGCCAATAATAACTCTTGCAGAGCCAGCACGAGAGATAAAAACACAAATGTCATCTTTGTCTACCCGGAGACAGTTCAACAATAATTTTAGTGGGAGCAATTTCAGTGCCTTTTTTACATATAATGTAGGGATCCTACATGTGCCTTAGATTAAAGTATTAATTTAGAATATTTTCACTAAAATAAATCTATTAAACTAGAATTATATTGTTAATAACAAAAGAAATTAAAAAATGGAACCTTCAAGCAATCAACTTAGGAGACATAGTAAAAACACACTGTTTGGTTTCAAATTTCAGCTTTGTCATTTCTTGATTTAATACCTTTCTTTTGCTGTAAAATGGAATTAGTACAAAAATTAAATGCAAAAGTCTCTTTAAAGTACTTAAAGCATACTTGGCAAATACTAAGGATGCTGTTAAATAAATAATAGATGATAGAATAGATTATAGATAAATAAATAGATCAATAGACAGACAGATAGATTAGATAGATAGATAGATAGATAGATAGATAGATAGAGAGATAGATAGAGAGATAATTATTCACAAAGTCTTCTGTGTATTTTGTTATAACTTACAGCATCAAAGGTAAAACTAAACCTCCTGGTCGTGAAGAGATGTATGTAAACTTAGCAGAAGGATAACTATCTTCTTAAAATATGTGTACTCTCTCATTCAGCAATTTTGCCATTCTTTCCCTATATTCACTCAATCGAAAGGTGTTTTCTTAATCACATTTTGCATTGGGATTTAAAAAATAGAGGGCTGAATATTCTCAGGGATCTGGAAGGACTCCACTATTCTGTGTTTTTGTTTTGTTTTGTTTTGTTTTGTTTTGTTTTGTCCATTTCTTTATTTGCTCTGATTAGAATTTTGAAATAGTTCATGAATGTGACTGTCACATTAAATATAGAATATTTCAAAGTCTTTCTTTGAAACATTCATCAGTTATAAGATGTTTGTAATTCTTGAAGAAACTTCTATCTGAAAATAATTCATTTGAAAGAGAACCTA